GAACACAGGCGGGCCAACTCTCGAGGGACGGAGCCACTCTGCGTGGCCCTCGGTCCCTGCTTTCCAAGAAGCAGCGTCCTCAAGACAAGAGGGATACTTACTCTTCCCTGAAAACACCTTGACGGGCGCCGGTCTCTTCACTCCCAGCTCATCGCAAATCTGAAAAATGCCACATAAGTAATAGGAGCGTTAAGCCACTGTCCTGATCCCAACAATGTATATTTTAGGATTCGCCTCTTTGGTCAAGTCCCATTCCCAGGGGCTCCTGCAGACGCCACCGCCTTCCCCGTACAATTTTCAGCCATTGTGGAACTGTGTTTTACGTATATCTCTGTGCTGGGTTGAATATATATTGGTAAGAGCCCAAAGGAGAGGGGCTTTTAAGCATTATCTGACAGCAAAGGAGCTCATTTAAATGGCTGGGTCAGTGGGAAAATAATGAACAAGTCACTGTTGTTTTGGGCCAAATGTTTGTTAGAATCACTTCACAGATGCTGCTTTGGATTGTTGGGGGCGATATGCTGACTCTGTAAACCGCTTAGAGAGGGCTGAAAGCCCTATGAAGCGGTATATAAGTCTAACTGCTATTGCTATTATTATTTTTATGCACAAGTTCCCTGAAATTACTTCAAGGATTTCCCCGGGCTATAAAGTTTGGGAAAGACCGGTCTATATTGTACTGACACAATGATTATGCTACCTAGTATTTTCATAGTAGAACTTTTTCCTCCCAGCCTTCTTTCAGGCATATAAAACTAGAGAGATTGTCCTTCCTGGCATCACTGTCTACATAACTTCCTTCAAGTTCTGTCTCTCTTTCCTATTTCTGCATTTCAACATACGTTAAGACATCTATATTATGGGGCCCTGTGGATTTGTATAAAAAGCCCTCTATGCCAGACATCAGATTCTACACCCGCTGTGTCCTTGAAAGTTTCCATTCATCCCCCTTTTCCACTTCCTTACTAAAATCACAAGGAAAATTTAAAACATCTTTTCTTAATAAACTCTAGACCAGGGACTGTACCGTCTACATTCCCAGGGAGACACATGTTTGCTTCAAAACATCTGTAACTTACACAGCCTCGAAAGTTAATACCGAAGAGAGACTATTTCCTTGGGATGTTAGGAAAGGTTAAACATACAGAAAATAACCACACTAATTTAATGGAATTAAAGTTTATATTAAATGAATTGTATTTGCTTGGAATGAATATATGCATTTATCTGAAATAATTTGTCTTTAAAATGAAGGATCTGCTTAGATTCACTAAGATACTTTTTTTTCCTGCTTTGGAAAAGAGATGTCATCTTCCATGTAAATAAATATAACAGCTATTCCAGTCCATTGATCTCTTACCTCGACCTGCTGATATTGTTGAGCTGAAAAATCTTTTGTACCCACTGGTGCAATAGAAACAAAGCCCTTCAGCTGTTCTCCACTAGAAAAGAGGAATGGAATGGAATATCGGCCACTCATAGATGAGCTTATCAAAATGGGCTTCTGAAGGCCCAAACCCTTGAACATTTGTCCAAAAAGGAAAAGGGGGCTTTTGCGGTCGCGATGGAGGTTGAACGTGGGGAGCTCCCATAACCTATTCA